AATGAAAACTACTAGAAAAGACAGACTTTTGAATGATATGAATTGTATGAATGCAAGGAAGTATTAACATTAAAATTTGCATTTATCTGCCTAGAGAACTAAAACTACCTTTATTCTATCAAAATTGTTGGTAGTGAAAATCTTAAATATAAAATTAAGATTTAATCTTAATTAAATCTTCTTAATCATTTATTTTTTTCTTTATTTTGCTTACTACTTGTCAGATAGATAGAGAGATGATACAGAGATCGATAAAGAGATAATTATTTCTTTATTACTGCCACAAGAATAACAATCACTTAGAATATTTACTCTACAGGTTTTGGACACATATTATGGGAAAATCTTAAAGACATTCTTTCTTTTAAAAGCAAATCTTGGCCAGGTACTCCTGCTCTTGCCTATAATTCCACTGCTTCGGTAGGCCAAGGTGGGAGCATTGCTTGAGTCCAGGAGCTGGAGACCAGCCTGGACAACATAGTGAGACCCCATTAGGAGGCTGACACAGGAGGATTGCTTAAGCCCAGAAGTTCAACATTTCAGGGACTATGATAGCACTGTTACACTCCAGCCTAGGCAACAGAGCAAGACCCTATCTCTAAATAAAAATAAATAAATAAAAGCAAATTTTTACATTAGTTATGAAAAAAAGGTATTTTTTGAAAGTCCTACAAAATAGTATCATGGTATGCAGTTGATAGCATGAGAGTAAATAAAATTATGCATAAAGAGAGAAGAGGAGGAGCTCCAGAATGGAGCTGTGTGGAACATGGTTATTTAAAGCAAAGACATAGTAAAACAAATATAAAAAGAAGCCTAGGAAGGCATTATTAGAGAGTGACATCAGCAAAAATAGTAGAGAAAGAAAAACATAGTAGAGTAAGACTTTCATAAATTCTCTCCTCCATGAAAACAACAAGAAAACTGGCAACAAAATAATTGTGAGAATCAACTTTTTCAAAACTCTGACAATCAGAGGCTTGTAGTGATTCCTGAAGTTGTTTGCTGAAGAAAAACATCTTTCTCTTAGTAAAAACACTGGAATTTGTGGCATTATATTTTGCTGTATTTCACACTTCCTCTCTAGCTCAGTGGTGACAATGTAAATCAATAGCCCTAAATTATAGCAAAGTCCACCTTCTGGCAGCCACCAGAGGGGACAGCATGGAGTCTGAAACCCTTTAAGGGATTATTCTTAAAGAATTATCACTATTTAACTTGTCTGCCAGTTTCCTGGAGAACCCCATTTGCAAATCTGTTTTTCTTTGACCTAACTTGAAGTTTACCCACTGCAAAAAGCCTTTTTCCTGGAGAAGTTTGTTTAAAACATTTAGAGTCAATATTTTTAACTTCACAGGTGCCTAAGGCAATTAGTAGTAGTAGGGGCAAACAATACACTTAAATATGTTAAATGGAAAGCAGTGGAATTCTGTGTCCATATGGGTTTGGAAAAACTGCATATATTCCCGGGCATCTGGAAGGCCACATATACAGCCTGAAATTTTCCCCCAAAATTTAAATGTTGAAGTCTTACCTGCCAGTACCTCCAGACATGACTTTATTTTAACAAAACTTGGTAAGGTTTTTTACCTTACCAAGAGGTAATTAAGGTAAAACAATATGCCCTAATCCAATAGGCTTATAAGAAGTTAGAACAGACACACATAAAGATCATATGTAGAAACAGAAAATGGCCATCTACAAGCCAACAAAGAGGCCCTCAAAGGAAACCAACCCTGCTGATAACTTGATCCTGGACTTCTAGAATTTTAAGAAAGTTAATTTTGCTTGCATTAGCCACCTGTTTGTTCATGATACCATGCCACGGCAGCCCTAGCCAAGTAGTACACCCAGGGTTGTGTGCATTTCAGGAAAGACATGAAAAGACTCTAAGCTCTCAACTCTGATGGCTTTTAGGCCCCACACAGAAGTGAAAGTAAAGACTATGAGTAGAGTTATCAACTGTGTGACATAGTGTTGAAGGTATGACTCCATGACTCAGAGTCCCCAACAAATACTGAGAGACTTACTGGTTCTAGAAGTTTAATAAAATCCATGTCCAATTACTAGCAGATCTCTAAACCAACCAACGGTCTACTGATCACATATTAGAAAGTAGTCTTTACAGAATTAGTTCAGAAAAGTCCATTTTAAAAAGAGCGGCCAGGCACAGTGGCTCATGCCAGTAATCCCAGCACTTTGGGAGGCCAAGGTGGGTGGATCATGAGATCAGGAGATCATGACCATCCTGGACAAGATGGTGAAACCCTATCTCTGCTAAAAATATAAAAATTAGCCAGGTGTGGCTGTGTACCCCTGTAGTCCCAGCTACTCAGGAGGCTGAGGCAGGAGAATTGCTCAAACCTGGGAGGTGGAGGCTGCAGTGTGCCGAAATCACACCACTGTACTCCAGCCTGGGTGACAGAGTAAGACTCTGTCTCAAAAAAAAAAAAAAAAAAAAAGAGAGAGAGGAAAAAACAACAAATCTGTGGGGAAAAGAGAATATGATTTCCAGAGTTGCCACTTAAAATCTTGTTTTCAATAAAAGTTATAAGTTTTACAAAGAAACAAATATGTATGGACTAAACACAGGAAAAATGCAATCAATAGAAGCTTGCTTAGCAAAGGCATTGCAATCACTAGACAAAGACTTCAAATCAACTATTTAAAACACATTTAAAGAATTAAAGGAAACCATGTCCAAAGAACTAAAAAGAAAGCATGATAGTATCTTACCAAAAAGGACATAATAAAGAGATAGAGATTATAAAAAAAGAAACAAAGAGTAATTCTGGGGTTGAAAGTCACCATGACTGAAACAATAAATTCACTAGAAGGTTGGTATTTCCTATGGCAACTGTAACAAATTACCACAAAGAACAGAATCTATTCTCTAACAGTTCTGCTGGCCAGAAGTCTAGAATCAGTTCACTGGGTTGTGAGTAGGTCCATGCTACCTCCAGAAACTATAGGGAAGAATCCATTCCTTTTCTTTTCCAGCTTTGGTGGCTGCCAGCATTCCTTGGCTGTGGTAGCATCATCCCAATTCCTGTCTCCATGGTTACATTGCTTTCCCTCTTCTGTCTGTCATCAAATGTAATTCTGCCTCCTTCTTATGAGGATAGATGTTGCATGTATCCTTATGTGGACATATGTCCTTATATGCTGTTTCATGTAGGACTGCCCCTGATAATCTAGGATAATCTTCCCACATTTGTGGGAATGTGTACAATGTGAAGGATTACAGTTCAGTATAAATAGTCATCTAGTATTTTTAAAAGAGAAAGAGGCAGAGTGTTATTTGTTCAGATCAAGGTAAGTTGCTCTATTTTTTGGTAGTAGGATGCAGGAGTTTATTTTCTGATAATTGAAAGGAGAGATTTAAAAAGGGAAATAAAGAGAATGGTTTAGAAGCAGCAGCATGTAGCTACAAAAGCTCCTATGATGTTTTTCCACCCTGTTCTTGAACAATGGAATGTAAGCAAATGCTGCTTGATAGGATGGGAAAAAGTTACTTAAAACCAGATGGTAGAGTTGTTGAAAAGATTGTTTTTTTAACAAAAAGATAGGTTTTTGAAAAAAAAATTATTTATCATTACAATGATTTTTGTATTAGAATAAAATTCCCAGTGATCGCAATGACAGAGACTTTGGTTGAGCAATAATAATCAGAGATAAACGGTCACAAAATCATATGGAGCTAACAGAATAGAGAGAAGAAATGCTTCTATTCTGGAAGAAAACAAGAATGACAGAATGAGAGTCCCTGGGAAGACAAGTGACTCAGTGTGCCCTGAATGAGAAGTAACCTCTCAAATAGAGAAATAGCTAATAGATACTGTTCTTTGTGATTCTGTGATTACAGAAATCTCATTCTCACAATACCACTGAGATTGATGAGATTTTAAAACTGTACCCATGAATCACTGCATATATCCCTGTGTTGGAAAACTTAATGATGATGGCTCTAAGCCCCAATTTTACTTCTTACTATAATTCTGGTAGGAGAAATCTAAGGATTTTAATAACTTGATCTTGCTATGATCATATGGTGACCCTAGTGGTTTGAGATTTGGCAATGTCCTGCATTGAGTGACACAGGTGGAAGCATGTGATGATTGATGATCTTCAGGAAGTCACATCAGCTTGAACACCAGTTCCAGAAAGCATCACTTCACTGACCAAAACTCTGTGTATAAAAAGAATCATTGGATTTTAACAAGCAGGCCCCAGCTTCTGCTGGAGAAGCCTATGCAAGTGAAGAGCCGGACAGAAGCAGCAGCTTACCCTACGGGTTTTTAGGGAAAGAATTTGGATGAAAAGAGTATAGGAACATACTACCTTTCCTGGACACAGGTTCTATTAATATAATATCCAGGTGCACATGGTACCTTTTTGGTAATTTCTCAATCTTCACACACAAATTTTAGATCTGAACAAAAGGTATTGTAGATTAATGACATGTAAGTGAAAGCAGAATGAATTTAACTTGGTGTGTTACTAATTCAGGAAGCACTTTAATTGAAGAAAAAACATGGTTTAACTTATTAGACAGAAAGTTTTACTGCTAAGAAAAGTTCACAAAACCTGAAAGATATCTTTTCCTTTCAATAAAAGCAGTAAGATTTCAGCTTACAGTTGAATTTTTATATTTTGTTATACTTAAAGCCATGAGGATACATTGGTTAAAAATTGCTCTCAGAAATCAGTTTTTGTAAATACAGATTTGAAGGCTTAATATTTTAGAAATGGCCTTTATTTTCAGGTTTAATATAAAAGAATACCACCTCTGACAATTGGACTGAATATATATGAAAACTTACAAGTATTAATTATAAATCTATAAATGTCTGTCTTAAAAGCTTCACTGTGTGGTATCTGAAGTTTTCTTTTTTGTTGTCAGAGATATTTTAGCTTAGCATTTCTATTTTATATTTGTAGGTAACAATTATTAGAAATACTTCTTTTTGTAAAGTTTGTATGTTTGTTCTTATTTGTAGTTTGGTTGCCACAAAAGAAACAAATAGTGCAAGATCTCGAAGTGCTCCAATGTCACCTTCTGACTTTCTGGATAAATTAATGGGGAGGACATCAGGATATGATGCAAGAATCAGACCCAATTTTAAAGGTAATTGTTCTGTTTGCTACTTTATATGTGTGTTTTAAATATGCTTCAAGAAGATACAATTTTAAGTTGATTCCATCAGAAATTCTAATGCTTATTTTCAACAATCTTCCAAATACTACATTAGTCACAGATGTGTCTTGAAAAAGAAATCTATTCACAGATTCTCAATTATCATAATTTGCCTGGCCCAACTATATTTTTTTCCCTTCTCTAACTGTTACAATACTTCTTGTCTTGACCACTGATTTTTAGGAGTATACATGTATGTACATATCTTTTATTTAATTATTCTATCAGTTATCTCACTGGCTGGAATGAAAACTTCTGTAATTGCTAGTGATAGACTTTCCTATCTTAATCTGCCACTGTAGTACTCTCTATATTGTGAGGAATCAAATCATCATTGAATTTACCTATTGAAAAATGGGCTGAATTGCTAACTAACAGCCTTTGAAATGTGTGGGAATTTATTCCACCTACCAAATGTTTTACCCCAATTTCTAGGAAAGAATGCAATTGTCAATTTAAGAGTACCACTTTCTATTCTTCTGTTTAATATAGTTGTAAGTAACATGTTTCTATAAGGAAATGTAACTTATCCAGAACCAAAATATACCCTGTAATTTAACTTTTAGGGTAAAACATTAGAAAGTTGCTTCCAGACCCCAACTTATATCATACGTTCTTGAATATTACTTTACCCAATAAAGAAAATACACAAAGCTAAAGAATATACACTTTTTCCATGGGATTGAGTTAAGCTTTGTCATTGCTAAAGGTTTAAAAAGTGTTGTCTACAATTACTATTTTTTCTTAAATTTGTCCTTATGGAAGAAAAAAAGAATTGCTTAGCAGTGGTGTAAAATTTTACTAGAATGGAGTAAAAAGTATCAATGTTGGGTAGCAGGAGAAAAAGAAGTAAAACTCACTAATAATGTCTGAGTAGAAAATTATGAATGTCTTCTTCTTATTTAAATTGTGGATCACACTTGTTTATTTGTTTTTAAGCTTTTCAACCATAAATATTTTTAACTTCAGGAGGAAAACACTGAATACAAAATGTGGAAAAATAGTACAATTTACAGGGGTACAATATACAAATGAAAATGAGATATTTCAGTATTATAAGGATCTTTTCCAAATTAAATGAAAGCAGTATTCCTGTGAATCTGCTAAGAACTAATTTGTAATTGATCTTAGAAATATATGCAGTTGTCATTTAAATAAACCACAAGACATAATCCGTAATTAGCATATTCATTATGGTGAGTCCATATTCAGTGACTCAGAAGTTTTGCTTTCTTTTCACTGAAAATTAAAGAAGAAAATGCTTTCTATTTTTAAATGTCTGTGAATATTTAAAAAGCATATAAACAGTCTCAGCAGATATTTTAATAAAACCGCAGATAAGTTACTAACCACACAAGAGTGGCCTCAAGTTTTCTGCCATTCTTTTTGAAAATTTAGTGTTAGTTCATTATTTTAATAGTTTAAAAGACAACAGAAATGTTAAACTATTTTAAAATGTGATTACTGCCATTTATGTGTGAGATCAGGAAAGGACCCCAAGGATGTGGTGATGCTTACAATAAATGCTGACTTTTTTTCTAAGTAAAAATGCATTCCTAAAAACAAGCTGATCATCAAGCCAGTTCAGAGATGATTCGATTTTTGGGAAGACTAAAATTTATTCTTACTCCACAGTGTCACTAAAGGAAGAAAATGAAAAAGGGAGAATTTGTCTTATTGATTTTCAAATATCTTGTGCTCTGAATGCTAGAAAAAAAATGCAGGCTGGATTTGATAACCAAAAGTAATATTATTAATTATAAAAAAGTAATAATTTAATGGATTCGTGTTTAGCTAACACTTTTGCTTTTTTATCTTTGCAAGGGTCAAACATTATTGACTTCAGCACATAACTCCGCTTCCTAATTAGGCATATTCAACACTGTTTCATTTCATTGGATAAAATGACATCATAATATTTTGATCATTAGTTCTTTGCCCAATATTGAAATATAAATAAAATAGTCTTTACATGCTATTTCTTCCTTACAGGTAACAGGAGGATATGTAGGCATTAACAAAATTAATCCAATACCTAACAGAAGATATTTACACAAAAAAGTGAAAATAGTGAACCCTTCTGCTGTCAGGTACCTAGGGACACACCTCACCTCAGTCAAAAATAAGCTCATCAAACATAGAAGTAGAAAATGAAGAATCTGTTGTCCTGATGATATTTAAATCATTTTTTCCCTGTGGTAGCTCACATGACTAAAAAATACAATCCCTGGCCATGTTGATTTTGTCCTTCCCCTATCAGTGTTTTTGGAAGGAATCTAGTTAGCTAATCAAACGAACTAATTTAAAATTGGTATTATGTATGCTTTCCCATCCAATTATCAAAGACATTGAATTAATGGTAAATGAGTTTAGAGACATAAATATTAATAATATGATATTATACTAAAGTTTTTAAAATGAGAAAAATTAGCTAAAAGAATTTTAAAAGAAGAATGGGGGTTCATCCCTCGAATACCAACATTTTGGGAGGCTGAGGCAGGTGGATTGCCTGAAGCTAGGAGCTTAAGACCAACTCTGAGACGCCCATCTATACAAAAAAAAATAAAACTAGCCAGATGTGATGGCACACACCTGGCTACTTGCAGCTTTACTTTTTAATTCTTTTTAGCAGCTCTAAGAACATTTCTAAACCCATATATCATTATTAAATGCCTTTTTAATAATAGTTTTTAAAATCGTTATATTTAATAGGACTGAGATATAATAGAAATTTGAAGTCGTTTTTATACTTATGCCAAATTAGTTCTGGCTACTTAGGAGGCTGAGGCAGGAGGATTGCTTGAGCCCAGTTGTTGGAGGTTACAGTGAGCTATGGTTGTGCCACCGCACTCCAGCTTGGGTGACAAAGCAAGACTCTATCTCTAAAAAGAGGAGAAGAATGGGAATTGTAATATTTGTAAAAATATATTACAATAACCTAATTTATTTGATCCTCACTTTTTCCTAAACACACAGAAACATACTTTACCTAGATAAGTTATCAGTTGATAGAAAATTGCTTATAAAATATGAAAGCATTGGAAAGAAAATTGCTTATAAAATATGAAAGCATTGGAAAATAACAATATGTTTGCCCTCTCTGGAATTCATAAGTTTTGTAAAAGGCAAACTTAAAGACTCAGTATTGACATTATCAGACAAATAACAGAAAAGAAATAGAAATGTTTCATATCATTAGCCAAAAGTAAAGTGTATAACAATAATTTAATATTTTTACTTTTAAAATTATCAACATATAAAAATAATGAATGTTCCAGAATTATATGCATTATTATGAATTTATTTCTGGAGTAATAGTATGAAATTTGTGATTGGTTTCACAAGTATCTTCATATTAAAAGAGAATCTATTTTGAAGGCCATAGTGGGAAAACAACTATTAAAAATACAAATGACTTTGTAAAAATGCAACTTTTATTTTGCTTCTTTCTACTTCTAACATTGAAAAAAATCTAGATGTAGATATTTTTTATTTAACCAAAATTATGGTGTTTGTTTTTCTTGTTTTGTCATTTATTTTTAAAAAGTACTCTAAAAAAAATCTCACCTCTCAAAGACTAAGTAGATTAATAAGTTATTAAAATGTACCACAGAGAAGTATAAATAAATAATTATCTTAAAGCACTTTAAATTGGTATTGAGCATGGAAAAGACAGCCTCTTCCATTGAATATTATTTAAATCAATACTGAAATGTTAAAATAATTGGTGCTTAACTCCTTACCATCAGATTTTCTTTTCACTGATTAACCTGTTCTTTTCCTCTCCAGAAGAGTATTAATTTCTCTGAAACATTTTTGAGAATCAGATTTCTCCAATAATGATCCTGTGCCTTTAAGATAATTTGGCATAAGTATAAAAATAACTTCAAATTTCTATTATATCTTAGTCCCATTAAATCTAATGATTTTTAAAACTATTATTAAAAAGACATTTAATCATGATACATGGGTTTAGAAATGTTCTGAGAGCTGCTAACAGAATTAGAAAGCACAGCTGCAAATATCACTCAAGTAGTTCTTCATGCGAACGAAATTAGAATTTTGTCCAAGTCATTATTTTAAAAGTTTGGTCTTAAGGAGAATGGTATGCATAGAAATGGTTATCTTTATGTTCACTTAGGCAAAGGTCATTGGTAAGGACCATGGATATGCATCTAAGTTTTGATGCTATGGGGAGTTCTTTGTGTTTTCCTTCCTTTGCCAACCCCATGTCAGATCTGCTTAGCTCATTATTGTTTTATCTCATGATGTGGCTGAGAAAAATATGAGATATGGTAAAAGCAAAAAAAAAAAAAAAAAGGAAGAAAAAAATAGTTATTTTTATTTTGAAAATGAAAATAATAGGCAGACTCCACCATTTCTTTCTCAGAATTTGACATCTTTTCTCTTTAGAAGCCTTTTTTGCTATGAAAAAGAGGAGAAACAGAAGGGGCCCAGTGAGAGAAAGCGCCAAGTCCCAGGCCCATCCCACAGGCCAAGGCTCTCACTGGGCAGTACTGCCTACCACTGTTACTGTCAGAAGGCCAGACAGATGAAGAATTAAGGGAAGACTCAATAATCCTTGAAACTGGTAGCTTCCATATATATATTTTTTAAAATCGATCTATATATATTTTTATCTATATATAAAATGTTAGAAACATTAAAATGTTTGAAACATTAAAACATTTATATATAATGTTTTATATATATTATTTATATATTACATATAATATATAAATAATATATATAATGTTTTATATATATAATTTATACATTACATATAATATATAAATAATATATATAATATATATTTTATGCATATTATATAAATATATAAATTTTATACATATACATAAATATATATAATATATATAAAACATTTTATATACTTAAACATTATAAATAACATTATATATATGTTTATATAT